GCTTTTCTAAAAAACAGATTTGAGCTTAGCCCTAAAATAATGTCACTGTCAGTCACTTGCAGACAGAAATGCTTTCTTGAGTGGGAGAGAAAGAATGACACTGCAGCTTGTGGACTGTCTGGGGACCCAAGCTTATCTACACCACAGCCTGTGGGAGTGTGTGGTGGGATATGCAAATGTCATCTTTCCTTGGGCCTTTCCCAGCAGAATAAAAGGCTAAAAACCTAATCCAAGAACAGGAAAATGTTCCCACTGAAGATTATTCTTGCTTGCTTGGGTTTGTTTTTATTAAAAGGTGAATGCTGGAAAAAGATAGTTTCTCCCTCGGAGGTTAGATTTGTTTGTTTTTACTAGTTATTTGTCAACACAAGACTGAAGTTAGAGTGAAAGTCGTCTGCAGGTTTTATTAGGTAGATATTAAAAGTAGCAATTCCAAAGGATTTTACAAATGGAGGCAGACTACTATTGATCTATGAAAGTATGCGGTAGACTCCCTTGCTTGCCTTCTTTCACAGGTGTTTCTAGTAAGAGACTGAAAAAGCAGAATTAAAGGTAACACTGGAAATCAAACAGGTTTCAAGTTTTACCTGGAGTGTGGTTTGGGTGTTTCCATCATCTGTTTGTCACGCCCATTAGTAGAGAAACTTCAGAGGGATCTAATGTTTTCCCAGGAGGTTTCTTTGTGGTAACCTCAATTTTTCTTTTCCAGCAAATGTTGACAGTCTCTACTTACTGTCTCAAATTTAGCATGACATGAAATCTTTACTCAAGCAGAAAGACTATGATGAATCTATAGTTGTTTCTCTCTAAAGAGTAAATTAGTCATAGACCCATGGATTTCTATTTAGTTGAAAGAAAAAGTTAGTGGCAGGGGTAAATGGGGGAAAAGAGAGCATTTACATTTGTTACAACCTAAACGTATGTAACAAAATACCGTTTCTTTGCTCAGTATGATATCTTCCAGAATTACGGCTGTGAGGATCATTTTAGGCCTAAAGAGAGCAAAATCTCTTAATTTCTCATGGAAATTCAAGATGTACTTTTAAGGATGCGTAAGTGGAAAACTGGGAGTGAAAAAATAAGATTTTTATATACAAGGAATTGTTCAGTGCCTTACTCTCTGGAAAAATAAGTTTGTTTTTATAGCTCATCAATAGTTTCATCACTGGTGTTCAGATAGCATATTCTTTTAAAATCAATATATAAGCTGGGCACAGTGACTCATGTCTGTAATCCCAGCACTTTGGGAGGCTGGGAGAGAGGATCACTTGAGCCCAGGAGGAGTTTAGGACCAGCCTAAGCAACATAGGGAGACCCTACATCTACAAACAAAAAAATTAAAAAAATTAACTGGGTGTGGTGGCACATGCCTCTGGTCCCAACTACTCAGGAGGCTGAGATGGGAGGATTGCTGGAGCCCAGGAAACTGAGACTGTAATGAGCTGGGTGCTCTTGCACTGCACTCAAGCCTGGGTGACAGAGCAAGAGCTTGTCTCAAAAAATAAATAATTTAAATAAAAAAAGTTAAAATCAATGTATAGTTGTGGTGATGTTTGCATAACTCATGAAGGTACTAAAAAACATAGAATTGTACACTTTAAATGGGCAAATTATATGGTATATAAATTATATCTCAATAAAACTCATATTGAAAAATCAATATGTAATTGCATTTGAAAATACAGGTTTTAGGGGTTTTGGGTCTTTTTGTAGATTCACCAAAACAACTAAATGTGCTCATGGCTTCTCAGATGTGAATGTGTTCACTGAAAGCCCACTCTATGTAAAGCTGCTGGGCTCACAGCAGCTCACTGGAGTTGCCCTACGCTCCGTCCCTCCATGCATGCTTGATGGCCCTGGCCAGCTGAGTGCTGAGGGTCGTCCCTCCATGCATGCTTGGATGGCCCTGGCCAGCTGAGTGCTGAGGGCCGTCCCTCCATGCATGCTTGATGGCCCTGGTCAGCTGAGTGCTGAGGGTCGTCCCTCCATGCATGCTTGGATGGCCCTGACCAGCTGAGTGCTGAGGGTCGTCCCTCCATGCATGCTTGATGGCCCTGGCCAGCTGAGTGCTGAGGGTCGTCCCTCCATGCATGCTTGATGGCCCTGGCCAGCTGAGTGCTGAGGGTCAGGCAGCAGTTGTCCCCTACAGCCACCCCCTCTGTGTGCTTAGCAAACCCATGCATGCCAGTTGGCTTCTTTTGGTAATTACGTCATCTGATTAAATGTTTTAGTTCATTTATATATAGGTGCTAAAAAATCAAGTTGTTTTCATGAAAAGAAAATTGTAGCCTTAGGAAATCTAGATAAAGGTTAATTGCTACAAAAAATTTTACTGTTGAATTAGGCATGGAAGAAAAAATTGCAAAAGATTTGGGGAAAAAAATCATCAAAATTTAGACGTGTATTACGTCTACATTTTCCAAGTCCTCAGACACTCGAAGTCATAGACAATGCCGCATGTCTACGGTTTATATAACGACAGATTGACATTTATGTTTAAGTTCTATTATTTAAGGAATGCATATAGAATTTCAAAAAATGTTTCTCTTTAATTAACCTTTCTGATTAACCAGCAAACTAATGGTCCCTGCAGCAGCGAATCAGAGAGCCTGTAAGATACAGAGGCCCCAAGAGAAACTTGCAGAGTGTAGGACTGCCAGTTAGGGATGGGCTGAAGTCATGGAGAGAGAGAGTGTGTTTAAGACAGAAAGAGAAACAAAATAAAATTTGCCTATGTTAATATTCATGTCCTCTTCCTGCTTTTTTAATTCTTTGTCTACTTACTTCAAAGCTGTTGAGTGTGAGAAAAGCAACGAAAGATTCCCATTCATTAACCCAACATGTGCTGAACTGACATCCCCAAAACCATACATTACACTAGTTATAAAGATATGAACACAAATAAGATACGGTTCCTTTTTATGTATCTAGTGTCTTTTTTTAGATTTTTAAAAATGAATTATTTTACTGTACATGTATAAAAATAATGCATTTTTGTTATCCTTTATAATGCTGTAAATAGTCAGTCTCATCTTTTTTCTTAAAGTAGCGTGTTCTCTTATGCTGTGCTTAGTGGAAACTCAAACTCTAAGTTCCACATCTGCCAAAAGAAAAGATAATTCTTTTCTGTGTAAGAAATTAACACTGTTTCTTTGCCCTAGGACTTTTCTTCCTTGGTTTTACAGACAGTATTCACAGGACAGAGAGCAGTAAATTAGGCATCAAGAGACTTGAGTTCTCACTAGACCTCCACTATTAAGACACTGAGAGACCAAAGGCAAACTGAGGCTCATCTCTAAACATGAAGCTGCAATGGAATTGGAATATATAGTCCCTAAAATTCTTTTCAGTGCTTGCAACTTCTGACATTGTTCCATCTCCTTGGTTTTGATATTTAATGGATTTAGAATCCATAATGAGGGCATGTAAGTAAAGCTTGAAATTTAGAACACACGCATCTTTCGTATCAACATTTTAATGTAAAGTGCATTCTTGAATGTTAGCTCTGCGTACTTGTGAACCTTTTTGTCTCGTGCATGGATATACTAGGAATTAGATAAATGTTTCCTTTTAAGAATGGATACGTGTATCTGAGTGAGAGATGTAAACAGAGGGAGAAAATAGGAAAGAGAACTTTAAATCTTCAAGAAATTCCCAGGTAGGGTTCCAACTGTTGAAACGGTAATAGCTTAAATAAGAACGTTTAGAGGACAGATTTTTGCTTTTTGTTTTGTTTCCTCCAAGTATAGTACAGTCTGGTGAAAGATTTCATGTTAGGAAAAAGTATGTAGCTAGGTAATTCAATTATTCAGTCAGCAAATATTTATATATCCTCAGTATATTAGCGTAGTGGTTCTTAAACTTTGGGTCACATGACCCCTTTACAGTTTCAAAAATTGTTGAGAACCTTGAAAGAGCTTTTGTTCATGTATTATAGTTGATATGTAGCATCTTGGAATCAGAACTGACAAATATTAAATTATGAAACTCATTAAAAATAAGCCCATTACATGTTAACAGAAATAAGCTTTTTGTGAAAAATAATTATATTTTTCAAAACAAAAAACTTTAGCAAGATAAGTATCATTGTTTCACATTTTTGCAAATCTCTTTGACATGTGGTTTACTAGAAGATAGCAGGATTCTCATATTTGCTTGTGTAATCTGTGGCAATATGCCATTTCACTGAAATATATGAAATATATGAAGAAAATCTGGCTTTACAGAGATCTACAGTTGGAAAAGGGAGATGAAAGGGTCTCAGGAACTCCCAGGTGTCTTTAGACCACACTGTGAAAACCAGTGTACTTTTATTTGTTCAACGAATATTTGTTAAATGCTCTCCAGTAAATAGGAAAAAACAAATCTGGTGGGAATACAGAGTTTGGAGGTTGAGACTGAGTTTGGAGGTTTTTTAGAAAGCTTATCCCTTATCTGGGAGGCGAGGTACAGAGGATAAGAGGGAATAATAAAACAAACTATGGGAAAGAGCCGATTAGAAATACAAGCCCTTATCTGTTGAAGTAGATTTCGAAGTTAGATATTAAGAAATTGAAAAATAGAGAAACAGCTGGTATCTTGAAGAGGGAATAGAATATTTCTAGTATGAGAAGGTATTAATGTCCTATTTTTTTAAGTGTTAGAATCTTGGCTACATAAGGAAGCAGCTTAGATTGGAGACTTAGGCATGTGGATTCCTGTTATGAGAGAAGACTGAATCTAGTAGCTATAGGTCTCAGAGAAGAATATTGTACAGTGTAACTGTGATTCCGTCAGGAGAGGGTGATACGGAGTCGTGGAAGGTTCTGCCTCCTGACTAGCCACTAGTATGTAAAGTGACCAACATTCCTTGTTTAAAATCTCTCAATAGATTGTCCTTTTTCGCACTTCCAGGATTCTTTGTGATAGAGGTAAGTAAAATGTTCAGTACATATGTAAAGCCTTTGTTTATGTTATGATGCTTTGTTTTTGATCAGTTTTCCTTTGCTTTTTTTTTTCAGACCATCCAGACCTTTCAAGTTACCAAAAAGGTAAAGTAATCTGGGTTATCTTATTAAATAATAAACTTACCTGCATGCTTTTTCCCATCTAATATTTTTTCCATATTTTGATGTTCTTTCCACTTTCCTCATTCATATCTTTATGAAAGAAAAATAAATTTCCCATGAGTTGGCTGCTTGAGGAATTCCATATCTCCAAAAGTGGTTTTAACCTTAAGGTAGATGTCTAACCCTATTAAATTCTATTTGTGTCTAGGGCTGATGCAGTATGTCATGCTTATAATACCAGCACTTTGAGAGGCTGAGGTGGGTGGATCAACTGAGGTCAGGAGTTTGGAACCACCCTGGCCAACATGGCAAAACCCCAACTCTACCAAATATCCAAAAATTAGCCAGGCATGGTGGCACGTGCCTGTAGTTCCAGCTACTCAGGAGGCTGAAGCAGGAGAATCACTTGAAAATTGGGGGTGGCAGTTGCAGTTACCCAAGATTATGCTACTATACTCCAGCCTGCAGTACAGTGAGACTGTGTCTCAAAAAAGTAATAATAATAAAATAAAATCTCTTTGTGTGTAAACATTTATATTTGTGTAATTATTTTGCATTCATTCCTTCCTGCCGTGGATTGGCTTCTCAGTGGCTTTCTTAGTGAGGAAAGAGACACTGTTCTGCCAACTACCATGACTTGAATTCATGGCAGGTTATTTCAGAGAGGTTGTTTTTTTTAAAAAAAAAAAAAAAAATTCTTGTTACCAATGGAAATATTCTTTTATGTGGAAATGTTTAAGGCTTATCTTTCAATAGAGAAAATTTTAAATAGATAAGAGTTCCTGAAAAGAAGCATTTTCTCACCAGATGTTCTTATACATTGTAATTCCAGATAAAATGTCATTACATTTAAGAATTCCAGGTGAGTTGGGCACGGTGGCTCATGTCTGTAATCCCAGCACTTTGGGAGGCCAAGGTGGGCAGGTCACCTGAGGTCAGGAATTCAAGAGCAGCTTGACTAACCTGGTGAAACCCTGTCTCTACAAAAGTACAGAAATTTGTACTTTTTGTATGGGCATGATGGCAGGTGCCTGTAATCCCAGCTACTTGGGAGTCTGAGGTGGGAGAATCACTTGTACCGGGGAGGCAGCGGTTACAGTGAGCCAAGATTGTGCCATTGCACTCCAGCTGGGGGGCAGAGCGAGACTCTGTTTTATTTTTAAAAAAGCGAAATTCTAAGTGATCTTTGAAATTCAGTTGCCAAAGAAGCTCAGATGCTGATAACACTGAAGCCTGCCTCAAGGGAGTTATCCTCCCTTTGAAATGAAATTACTATTTAAGTATTCATTAGTAAACACTCCTATTAAAAAAATTATTTTAAAAATTCTGATAAAATATACAAATAGGCCAGATGCAGCGGCTCATGCCTGTAATCCCAGCACTTTGGGAGGCTGAAGCAGGCAGATCACTTGAGGTCAGGAGTTTGAGACCAGCCAGGGCCACATGAGGACACCTGTTTCTACAAAAAAATACAAAAAGTTAGCCAGGCCTGGTGGTTTATGTCTGTAGTCCCAGCTACTCGGAAGGCTGTGGTGTAAGGTTCTCTTAAGCACCAGAAGCAGAGTTTGTACATAGCTGAAATACACCACTGTACTCCAGCCTGGGTGCCAGAGCCAGACCCTGTCTCAAAATAAAAATAAAAAATAAATAAATAAGTAAATAAGTAAATAAATAAATAAATAAATAAAATATATATATATATAGAGAGAGAGAGACAGCACTCATATATATAATATGTATAACAGGGTTATATGTTATATAACAGGTTTATATGATATATAGTTATAACGTGTTGATATGCTTTAAATGTTATATGTGTTTATACATTGTATAGACAACATGTGTATATGTGTTGCATATATAACATATATGTTGCCTTTTAACCATTTTTAAGAGTACGGTTCATTGGCATTATTGTATAACCATCACCACCGTCCATTTCCAGCACTTGTTTCTCTTGTAAAACCGAAATTCTATACCCATTAGACATTAACTCCCCATTTCCGCCTACCCTAGGCCCTAGCAGCTATCATTCTGCTTTGTCTCAGTGGGTTTGACTGCTCTAAGTACCTTGTATCAGTAGAGCCCTACAGTATTTATCCTTTTCTGACTGGCTTATTTCATTTAGCATAATGTCTTCCAGGTTCATTCATGTTGTAGCATGTATGAGAATCTCCTTTTTTAAGGCTGAATAATATTCCATTGTATGTATATATCATATTTTGTTTATCCAATTCCCTTTTCATTTTTGCAAAAATAAATAAAAGAAAAAATAAGGGAAAGAGGTATGTGCGTAAATATGGCATATTAAGAAAATGAATTTCTACTTTCTATAATAGGGCTTTTGCAAATAACAATTTTACTTTGAAAAGATTCGTTCTCTATTATTAAATTGGTATTATTAAGCAAAGCTCTCTAAGTATATATGCATATAAATACAACTTCTTCAGCAAAGCCTTCCCTGATTGCCTTTAGCACCTTGGCTGGAACTTATTGCTTCTCTTGTTGAATTCACAAAACGTTTCATCTGTACCCCTCTAAAAACCACGTATTTTTTTTTAACCTGTCTTGTAGATACTTGTGTGCCTGTCTTATTTTCTGTATTAGGTTGTAAATTCCCTGAGGGCAAGATCCAAGTCTGCCATTTTTGTATTCCTGGGATGCCTTGCCTCCTTACTGTTTAATGCTAACTGTTGGATGAATTTGTTACTTCACAAGAAAACAAAGAGTTGTATTTATCGTTTTGTGACTGGCTTATTTCATTTAGTATAACGTCTTCCAGGTTCATTCATGTTGCAGCATGAATGCTTTTAATTTTCGAACTTCAGTCACTGTCCCACTAAGTTGATAGTTGGTGCCACTGGAAAAGTTATGACTTAGTAACATTTTGAAATGCCTGTCTTTAAGGGACAAGAGGAATAAGAGTTACTAAGGGAAATGAAAGGAATAAACCAAAGGGGAAAGGATTTTGGAAGACAGAGGCCACTAACAGTGTTAAATACTGCTCAGGTCAAGGAAGATAAAAGCCAAGAATAGTTAGTTACCTTGGGCAATTCAGAAGAGTCATGAGAGCAAAAGCCAGACCAGACCGTAAGGGGTTGAAGATCCAGAGGAAGTTGAGGAAAAGGAAGCCTCTGTTATGGGGCACTGACTTATACCATCTGAAACACGGTTTTTTGCTCAGAGGAAAGAGAAAAAAGAAGGCAGCAAAGAACAAGGGAAACAAATATTTGTAAGCTAAGAGGAAAATTTATTATATGGAGGTATGTTATTGTAATATAAATAACCCACTTAAAATTGGCCCCCATTTTAATGTCACTTGAGCGTAAGTTGGCTCTATAAGATACTTTGTTTATTTGTTTTGACAGTTATTTCTGATCTGTTTCCAGAATAAATCCAATAATAAGGTGACAGAAAATCTCTGACTGTATTTGAGGGACTTCCACTGAGAGCCAGTGAAAACTTCAGCATGGCAGTAACACCTGGACCAGGATGCCAGGCAGCATGCCTGCTAATTCAGATCCACAGCTCACCCGCGAACGCGCTTCATTGCCTGTGACTTCTGTTTCTTCTCCCGTGAAAGGAGAACGAGCCCTTCAGATCTGTCTCCTATTGAGACTTAACCTATTGAGAAAATGAGGTGAACTTTTACACAGCAACGCCCTGCAAAGAGCGGGCCCGAACCTCAGCAGCTAGTACAGCAGTAGGGCCTCCAGGAAGACCGTCACCTGGTCTTTCACTGGAAAATGACCACCTGCTGTAAGCCAGCTGTTACAGAGATGGGCTGCACTTACCATTATATTGTGGTGTCTAAAGATTTTCGATATTAGAGCAGGTGGACGAAAGGCAAGGATTTGATATGCAGGAGAATACAGTAGAGTCAGAAGAATGGTTCCTTTGAAAATTCTTCTGCACATATGGTTCACTTTTCAAAGAGAATAATGTACAGGATATATATATATATATATATAGCATCATCAAATATATATATATGTTTGTGAAATTTATAGGCCATTTTTAATTTCCTTTACTTCTCCAACTTTCCTACTTTATTAGATTTTTATCTTGATATTACAACCACTGTCTGGATTTCACATTGCACATGCATGTCTGTTTCCCATGTGGTACCCACAGCTGTACTATACATATACTTCACATACATAGCAGGAGGAGAATCAGCCTCAGCACTTTTGTGGTGCTGAGGAGAAACACTTGTTTGAGTAACACTTCTCAGAAGCATTGGGCTTTCCCCCATGGCGTTTTATATACTCAGATGGTGATCCCCTTTCTTAAGTGTGAACAGTTATCTCTAGGAAGGGTTAGCGTGTGAAACATCTGCTGTGTAAGGAAGTAGAATTGTAGTATGGTAAGGCTAAACGCGTTTGGAAGAAACGTGCTGAAATCACTAACGCCATCAAGTTTCCATATGTAGTCAGTGCACGTACATGGTGTGTAGCAGTGCTGTAAAATCAAAACCAGATGTTTTCAAAGGAAAGAAAAGCAATTATTGAATGGGGTTTTGAAGGTCGCTATACATGTGTGTGCAGATTTTTTCAAGAACACAAAATAAAAAGTCTTTATATGGGTAAATGAAACCGCAGTATGAATACTAAGCAATTTGGGGCCTACTGCCTTCTATTGATAACATGTTAGTGAGTAAAAACGCATAACTTCTGATTCATTTGAGAGAAAATGGATCCATTTAAAATAAAATGTAATGAATAACCATGTAAGCCCGGGGCCATTTTCATTTCACAGGTCTAAAATGTTAAGGACTCTTTTCATTTAATGGTCTAAAATGTTAAGGACTCTTTTTTAAGTCTCAAATGTACTATTGAGACAGAGGACTTTATTGCTTCAAAACTAGTTACCTTCATCTTAGTTTGCATTTGGTGGAAGAGGAAATAGAGTGAGGAGAATATTATCGCACAGGGTGTGTTCTAGACGTGTGAAAGCTTCTAGCCACTTGGTGTTTACATATGAACAACCGCAATCAACTTATGTCATTTATGTGTCTTTATTATATTCAGAATTATTCTAAAAGGTTATTCTGCCTGATCGAGCATCATTTTTCCTCAATGAGTTTTTAAATCCAAAATTTGCAATGTAGTAAATAATGTTCAAACTTGGAACCTGTATGATTTTGCATAGAGAAATTAACTACTAGTAGGGCTGGGAATTTTTAATTGTGAGAGTTAGGAAGCAGACATTTGTGGCCAGTGTAGTTATTCCTAATGTTTCTAGTTACTCTTGTGTCTAAAGAAACAAATGACAACACAGAGATTAAAAGCCTGACTCTAGAGCCAGACTGTCTAGGTTCCTAGTTTTGTGACATCGAATAGGTCCTATAACTTGTCTGTGCCTCAGTTTCATCTCAAAGGGTGGTTGTGAGAATTGAACACGATGATAATTTATGTGAAGCACAAGAGAAACTGGTATTCTGAATAAGGGCAGCCTTGTATGTATGTGTGTATGTGTTTATTTGTTTTTATAATATTTATTTTTCTTTCTTTCTTTTCTTTTTTTTTTTTTTTGGTAAGACAGAATGTTGCTCACCCAGGAATGCAGTGATGCGATCTCTGCTCACTGCAACCTCCGCCTCCCGGGTTCAAGTAATTCTTCTGCCTCAGCCTCCCAAGTAGTTGAGACTACAGGCATGTACCACCACGCCCAGCTAATTTTTGTATTTTTGTAGAAACGGAGTTTCACCACGTTGGCCCGCCTGGTATTGAACTCCTGACCTCAGGTGATCCACCTGCCTCGGCCTCCCAAAGTGTTGGGATTATGGGTGTGAGCCACCTAGTCTGGCCTTATAAGATTACTTTAAAAGAGCAGCAGTGAAAAATGCCTGTCCACATGCTCCCTTAAAGCATAATTATGCTGCATTTTAATATCCTTATTAGAATTATAATTTGAAGCAAATATCCCCCCAAAGCCAGATATATACAGTTAAGACAGCAGATTATAAAATTTCGCAATCTATTCTTAGAGACATATAGTAGCTTTTATTCAGACTGATATTTAGAGCCACCGGAATTACTTGTAACTACTAGCATGATTTTGAAGAAATAACTCAGAACTATATGAGTACGAATCCTATTTCAGATGAGCCAGAAATAGCCATTGCAGCAGCCAAATGAGCTAACACTGCTGAGAATTTAGAGGAGTGGTCCACAGGTTAAGTATTTTGTCTTGCTTTTCTTCTTCTAATAAAGATTCAAGAAACCAGAAGTTTGCAGGATGCATTTTGAATTTCAGAGAAAGTTTAGTTTAGTCAGCTTCTGTTGGGCACTCAGTTTATATTAAGACTTGGAAGTGTCGGCCAGGCACAATGGCTCATGCCTGGAATCCCAGCACTTTGGGAGGCCAAGGTGAGCGGGTCACAAGGTCAGGAGTTCGAGAGCAGCCTGGTCAACATGGTGAGACCCCATCCCTACTAAAAATACAAAAATTAGCCGGGTGTGGTGGTGGGTGCCTGTAATCCCAGCTAGCTACTCAGGAGGCTGAGGCAGGGTAATCACTTGAACCTGGGAGGCCGAGGTTGCAGAGAACCAATATCATGCCATTGCACTCCAACCTGGGCAACAGCGCAAGACTCTGTCTCAAAAAAAAAAAAAAAAAAAGACTTGGAAGTGTTCAAAATTATAACATGTGATCCAGGACCTTATGGTAGGGATACAGGAACAGGTCTTTCAATGTGAGGTAACAAATGAGGGTGTGGGAAGCGCATCTGGAAGAAAGGATCCAATGGTAGGATTTGGTAAGAGAGACAGTTCTCCACATGTGGACGGAGATAAAGGCAGATTGTAGTAGCTAGAGAGTACAAGCACCGGGTGTTTGTTTATTTGGTCAATAGATAGTTGTTGATCACCTTCTAAAAGATGATAGTACACTAATGAATCAGACAAGAATTTCTGCCCTCATGGAACTCACATATCTAGTGGATAGAGTCACTGCAGTTGTAGCTGGAAGGAAAGATACAGGTTTATGGGAAGTGTTTGGTTTGGTTGTTTGAAGATTTGCACCACATGAACCTGCATATAGACTGAGTTCTTTAAGAACTGCGAGAGTGAAGGTGTGGAGAAAGGGAATAACTAGCGAAACGAAAGTTCTGGAAGAGGCTGCAAAGAGAATGGATCTTAGGTTAAAATTTTCCCTCCACTAATGAAGTGTATATTTTATATCTACTTCACAAGCATAGATGTAGATATAAAGTGTTACTTGTCATATATGTACGTTAATCTGACTCTCAGTAGCCTGGGGCATAAAGTGCTACTTTATCACAGAAATGAGGAGACAATGATCTTGTAACTTTCTACTACAATTACATACAAATACTTATAATCCTATTAGATATTTTATTGATAAATACCTGTATTTGGTCTAAAATATGAAGATCTAACTAATTGCTCTCTTAGGTAGCTAAAATGTTTCTGCAGAGAGCCTTCCTTGTGACTTCTTTGTGTTCTGTAGTTATGCAGCCCTGATAGCCGACTGGCCGGTGGGGGTCCTGGGCATGTGCACCATGTTTATCGTGGTCTGTGCCTTGGTTGGAATCTTAGTCCCAGAGCTTCCTGACTTCTCTGATCCGTTGCTGGTAAGTAGCATTTATGTTTTCTTTAGCCTAAAATCATCTTCAGAAATTACGTATTTTAATACATGTTGCATTATGTTATTTAGTAACCCATTTCTTTAAAAACATCAAGCTGTCAGTAAGCAGACAACAATTCTCTTTCTGAAAAGTAAAGACATTACTTCATCTGTATTATCACGTTCTTCAAAGGTCAAGGAACGTGCTTAACCTCAAAAATCTGGAAGGTTTCCTTCTTGGTCCCCATGTTTAAGCTAAAAAGCAATAAGTTGGAGAATTTGCCTTCTATAAAAATATTCTCGTAGAGTCTTTAACACTATCTCTGTTTTCTGCCAGAGAAGTTAAAGGAATTTCAGTATTACTAACAGCAGAGTCTGTTTGTAAGTAAATGTTTCTCTGGATTGGAATAATGAAGAAAATATGATCCAGGATAATGATACACTCTCTGTAAAAATACTAACAATGCATAACATGATTTAATTTCCTCATAATTTTCATAAGATAAAAATAAATATTTACTAAATGCTTAGGTATAAGTTGGAAAGATAAACTTCTGATGCTTTTTTTCCTCTTTCATTAGACATGTAACACACCAAAGAATCAAACTGTTTTGTCACAGCAAATAGGTGATCATTATCATTCCAGGCATCTTGTTTGAATGCAGTCACCTCTGGAGGAATTATGAGGAACAGCTGCATTTTCTGTTGCAAGCTATACATCACTTTGACATTGCTTTCCCGAGCTTTTAATGTAACGATACTTAGTCTGAAATGAAATACACTAACAAGAGCTTGTAATTTTGCCTTAGGGTTTTGAACCAAGAGGAACAGCAATAGGCCAGAGATTGGTCACATGGAATAATATGGTGAATAATACCGGATACAAAGCAACATTAGCAAATTATCCCTTTAAATATGCAGATGAACAAGCCAAAAGGTAATAGATCATTTGTTTTTATGTAACTTTTAGACAAAACATTGCTTAATGAATTCCTCTTCAAATACTGCCTGAACAAAAAGTTTAAATGTAAAATGTATGGCTCAAAAATCTTTGCCACTGAGTTTAACTTTTCATTGTGTTTTAAGGTTTTGTGTAGTAGGATGAAAAGGTAAGATTTTCTTCCTTTTTTTTTTTAGAAGTGAGAAAATTAATGTTGGTTGCTTTTAATCCTTTCAACTTAATATCAAGGAATAAGTAGGTCATAGCTTTGAGGAAGTTCTGTTTTCAGTATGCTTATCAGCCTTGAAACGGCTCGCACTTTATCGAAGATCAAATTGTTGTTCCATTTCAGCCATCGGGATGATAGATGGTCAGATGATCATTATGAGAGAGAGAAAAGAGAAGTTGACTGGAACTTCCACAAAGACAGCTTTTTCTGCGACGTTCCAAGTGAGTGGCATCCTAGATGAACACACCCCTCAGTGGTTTCCTAGCATTTACAATTGAACATGATCATAGTCTAGACTGATAGTCGTGTGTGGCTAGTCACACAGCTTCACTGTTGCTGGTGAACCTAAAGAAAGTTTAGCTAGTTAACTTGTACTAGCTAGTTTAGTCAATTACTAGTCTGAATTTATTTATTATATTATTAAAATTAATGAAAAAAGTAATGATCGAGTTTTCTCATTTTAAGGAAGATACAAATATAATGAAATTCTCGACCTTGCCCAGCATTTCAAGTCTTTTTAAAAATTCCTTGTACTATTTATTTCTAGATCAAATACAGGGACATTTTTTGGATTAAACCTTGAAATAATCTGTTGAATTATTTAAAATTATTTAAAGTTCTGATTCATTCAAAAAGCATATAGTGTATTAAGAGCCTTCTGTATGCTGCTTTATCACTAGGCAGTGGAGATAGAGAGGTGAAAAAAATAAAGTCCAGAGGTTCAAAGTTTGAATGCCTCAGGGGCGTGGCATATCATACACGTGAATAAAGCTAGCTAGGTATGACAAGAGAAGTGATGGTGATTGTGGAACACTAAGGAACATCTGCCACATATGAAGAAATCGGCTTCTACCTAGCTGCAGCAAAAGGTGGTCTTCTAGAAATGAGGGCCTAGGGCCAGGTGCGGTGGCTCACGCCTGTAATCCCAGCACTTTGGGGGGCCGAGGCAGTTGGATCACGAGGTCAAGAGATCGAGACCATCCTGGTCAACATGGTGAAACCCTGTCTCTACTAAAAATATAAAAAATTAGCTGGGCACGGTGGCGCGTGCCTGTAATCCCAGCTACTCAGGAGGCTGAGGCAGGAGAATTGCCTGAACCCAGGAGGCGGAGGTTGCGGTGAGCCGAGGTCGCGCCATTGCACTCCAGTCTGGGTAACAACAGTGACACTCCATCTCAAAAATAAAAAAAAAAAAGAATTGAGGGCCCAAATGTTGCAAGAACTTGCCAGAGGTCAGAAATCCAGATTATAATGTGGAATAATCAGATCTCTAAATATTGGCAACAAATTCACTACCCAAAATTTTCTTTAACATCAAGTCAGCCTGATTACTCTGCAGCTGCCAGGGAAGAAGGAAGGCACAGCCTAGAAGAAATGAATAGAAGTATGTAAGCCGTTGATTATCGTGATTAGGATTGAGGAATTGTGGATATCGTAATTTTTAATTAAGTGAATATTAACAGTAAAGTTCTTTTGATTTCAGCTTTTGCTGTTGTTATTGAAAATCCTTCTTAAATGTACGTTTCCCTGTCTTATGAAAACACCTAATCAAACACTGGATGACCTGATTGGATTGTTGATGTTTCTGGAGCTTACCGAGTCTCAGGGTCTTCGTTTTGATCACTTCCTCTGAATAGGAATAGATAGTAGAAGATTAGGCAGAATCTTATGCTGATCCCACAAAGCAATACATATTTCATTTTTTGTCTCTTCTATTAAAAAAAAATTAGGAAGTTATACTCTGGTTACTTGCATGTTCTGGCTGGTTTATTTCCCTCGGTCAAAGTGATACTATATATTACTGCTTAACCAACATCTGTTAGTTATGATCTTAACCAGGAAAAACATTACCAAATTCATGAAGTATAGTCTTGCTTACATTTCAATAGTCAGCACTAAATATTTCCTCATAAGTTATTCCGCATGACTAAAGCCACTACCAGCTCTGTGTAAAAGAAATGTTTCTGTTTCCACCAGGCGGATTTTGCTCCCCAAAATCAGTCAACATAAGATAATAGCCGAAACTTCATGATCATAAATAAAACCTTTTGTAATAAAGCTTTATTCATAAATTTACCAGCTGATTTGTTAGCACAATTAGGCATTTTAATTAACATAAAATTCATCTTTGTTTTATGTGGTTCATATTTTTTAATATGTGATTCATATTGTTTTTGTTCTGAGGATGCAGAAACAATACTGTTGGGCACCTATTATTATCTCATTAAATTCTCACAAGTAATTGAGATAGATATTGCTGTCTCTGTTTTACAAATGAGGAGCCACGACTCAAAGAAGTTGTTAGTTTCCTAAGGTCACATAGCTAGTAAATGACAGGACCTGGTTTACCCTAATCTGACTTTAAAGACTATGCATGCTCTTTCTGGTATAACAAAACCTCCCTTATTCAGAAACATATTTTGTGTTAATCTGATTTTCAAAGTATTTTTTCTAGACTCTAGTACACCAGAGAGACTATGTACTCAAGCAGAATACGGCCAGCATTCTGTACTTAGTTGACTGTTTTTAGCGCTTTTAAATTTGTCACCCACCATCTCTCCTCTCCAGTTAACTGCCAGGGAGAACATCCCTATAATCCATTCTTGGTATTCCTAGTGCATCTTTTTTTTATTATGGTGATGTGAAATTAGAGGGATATATTCAATTAGTTTCCTGTCGTAAATTCTTATGAATTTACCTTCCTAATTATAGTCTGACCAAAAATAGATTTGCTATATAATTCATACAATTTTAAATTGTAGTGAGTAGACAAAGGCTTTGCACTGAGACAATATTACAGCATTGCTTTTTTCTTTCTTTTAACATTTTCTCCTGGAATTTGTCAAAGGAAAGAATTTCCTGCTGCTAATGAATTGTCCATGTGGTTTCCCAGTTTGAATTATTTCTGAATCCCGAGTCATATGAAATAAATACATAAACCTTTTTCTTTCCTTTTTTCCATCTCACCAGGTGACCGATACTCCAGAGTGGTATTTACTTCATCTGGAGGGGAGACATTATGGAATTTACCTGCAATTAAATCAATGTGCAATGTAGATAATTCCAGGGTATGTAAAATAAAACTAAAATCTCCTTAGCGCAAATAAGGTTGTATTATTGAAACTCCTTTGTCTGATCGGGTGAAGTACTTAAGAGGCTTACCTACTGAGGAGGAAACTCCAGCAGGCCAGGTTTGCATTCTCTCAGATCCCAGGACCAAAGCGTCCATGTTTCCTTCCCCAACTTTAAAACACGCCATCTTCCTTTTTTTTCCCAATTCATGGTCTGTGGCTACTGATAGTGTTTTCTGTTATTTCACAGAATATTTCTTTTCAGTGAAGTATTTCAGACTGTTTTTATTCTTTTGTTGCATTGTTGATTTCCTAACCTAGTTTCATTGTTTCCTATTTCCCGCCCTGAGGCAGTTGTAAGCATCTTAATTATGCAAGTAAATGCCTGCCTCTCTGGCAATCAATGGGTCATTTGGGCCGGTGACCTCAAAGGGAAATTTAGGGAGCAGGCTGGGAAATGGGACATCAAAGAGCATAAATACAGTATCTATGTAACTGGCGAGAGTAATCCAATCCAGATTGCCCCGAATGCCAAACACTTTGCTGCTTTGGGAGACGCGGGGATGCAGGAAGACAGGCGTTCTGTCTCTCAGTCTTCTCTAGAGCCAAAAACATGTCAGCACCAGAAAATGTAGTGAGCTTCTGGGTTTGGAAGAGCTGTCAATTTTATATGTTCAGGGTTGATTTCTCTAAATAGAAGCTGCTATCTGATGTCACTAATGAACGTGTCCGAGCAAAGCAACCGGCATAGAAGGAACTCTGTGTTCTCATGTTCTCAGTATAACACTAAAATGTAAAATCACCGGGTAGTTAAAAATCGAATCTTGTGTCCTGTTGAGAGCTAGCTAGCCTGACAACCTGATGCAGTCACCTGTTCTATTAACAGGGAAATTTCTTAATGAAATAAGTGGTAGAAAGGAAAGAAGAGATTACCCAAACCAACAGTCTCATTGTACTAACATGAGTACCTTCCAATAACTAAGTACCTTAACCAGGTAACCTAGTTAGATGGTCCCAGATCACCTAGATGTACCCCATCCTTCATTCTAAGAGACTGTTTGCACATTTTGAAATTGACTTTCCAGTCGATTAAGGTATCAGGATTTTCTGTCAGTGCCATCTTCCTTTCACATAGACCAAAGCCACAATCTATCAACAGACCAGAGTTTCTTAACTGGTGATCAATTTTTATTTGTCCTATTTTCTCTTCTACAGCTATCAGTTCCTTATTTGAAGGCTATGAACCTATTTCTCCTTGTCATGCATTAGTATACTTCTTTTTTTTTTTTTTTTTTTTTTTTTTTTTGAGACGGAGTTTCGCTCTTGTTACCCAGGCTGGAGTGCAATGGCGCGATCTCGGCTCACCGCAACCTCCGCCTCCTGAGTTCAGGCAATTCTCCTGCCTCAGCCTCCTGAGCAGCTGAGATTACAGGCACGCACCACCATGCCCGGCTAATTTTTTGTATTTTTAGTAGAGACGGGGTTTCACCGTGTTGACCAGGATGGTCTCGATCTCTTGACCTCGTGATCCACCCGCCTCGGCCTCCCAAAGTGCTGGGATTACAGGCATTAGTATACTTCTTATACAGAAAGTTAACTCTAAAGGTGTAAATGCGTAGCAATATTTACTGTGTGCAAGACTATGCTAGGTACTTGTACATCACTCACATGGATCTGTGACCTTGGAATTGATAATGCATTTTCACAGATGATAAGTTAAGCTTAGAGAAGCTAAGCCAGTCTGGTTACAGACCTTGGATGAGTGCAGTTCATTAACTTCCGTTCCTTTTTGTCTTCATTCTTCTACCTTTGGTTGATCTTCAGACCTTCCCTTTCCTGAAGACTCTGAGTGATTGAATTCACTCAGTTAATTAATAGCTGATATTTAGTGAGTATTTACCTTGTGCCAGGAACTGTTCTAAATACTTTATTTAATCCTCGTGACAGTGTTAATGAATTAAACACTAAATAGCCAATTTTCTGGTTGAGGAGAGTTCACATTTGTGGTCAGGGGCACATCCAGGATTGGAACCCAGCCAAGTTGAACTCCGGAGTCTGCCTTTTTCCACCCTGCTTTATGCTTCCAGTGAGGAAGAGACCTCCTCCATTTTTTTTCCTGTATATGCCATTCCCCACACAAATGAAGCTTAAAAAGTCATTGTGGTCTGGAATAGTATCCGTTTTTTCTTAAAGAGCTAGCAATTTAGTCCATGAGTATGTGTTAGACTCTGAGATTCAAAAGCCAGCAAGCAATACTATGCCATGATAGCTTTCATAAATAAAAGTGGTGTATACTTTCATCTCTCTCTCTGTATGTATGTGTATATATTTGTAGCTTTCATAAATAAAAGTGGTGTATACTTTCATCTCTCTCTCTGTATGTATGTGTATATATTTGTAGCTTTCATAGATAAAAGTGATGTATACTTTCATCTCTCTCTCTGTATGTATGTGTATATATTTGTAGCTTTCATAAATAAAAGTGGTATATACTTTCATCTCTCTGTATGTATGTGTATATATTTGTAAACTACCTCAACATGATGATTTAGATAGATAGATAGATAGATAAATGATAAAAATCATCATGTTGAGGTTGTTTACAAAAAAGCATATGCAAAGGATAAGATAAATAAGTTGAATGAATCACATAAAGGGAAAACAATTGGAGGAAAATAATAAAGCTAAGGATGAGATTTAGCATATAATAATACACACCCACAATCTTGTATATTTGCTAATAGGAGCCACAAACTTATCTCTAACCTCCCAGCAGCCAGAGCAAAAAGGATTTCACAATCAGTAACAAAAGTCATATAAAGAAGGTAACAAATTTGTGTTTTAGAAACTCAGCTTTTCCTCCTGCTAAGGCAGGAGGAGACAGTTCCCCCACAGTCTTCATAAAAGAAGTGTGGGAACGGGTATGGTGGTTCACTCCTGAAATCCCAGCACTTTGAGAGGCCGAGGTGGCAGATTACCCAAGGTCAGGAGTTCAAGACCAGGCTGGCCAACGTGGTGAAACCCCATCTCTACTAAAAATACAAAAATTAGCTGGACATGATGGCATGTGCCTGTAATCCCAGCTACTTGAGAGGCTGAGGCAGGAGAATCTCTTGAACCCAGGAAGCGGAGTTTGCAGTGAGCTGAGATCATGCCATTGCACTCAAGCCTGGGTGTTGCAGTGAGACTCTATCTCAAAAAAAGAAAAAGTGTGATGCTGTGTACAAAATTCTTAACAGTGTGCTTAGAAGAGATACAATATTAACGTTCAGCTGATTTGCAAAACATAGGTAGGCTGGTAGCAAGAAAACATTATAGCAACATCATTTCTATAAGAGATCAAAGCAATGAAAGCTAAGCATGTGGCTTTCTAGTGGTTTAGCGTGTTGCATGTGCATAGTTTAGACTATCTAAAGGAGTAGATGCGCTCTGCTTGTCTAAGTCTGTCTTTCTGCCGAGTTGATGATAAAGATCAGGCAGCTGTGAGTTTAATTTGTAATCCCTGGCAAGATCAGTACAACTACATGTTTTTAGTACGTACTTTCTGAGTCACCAACTCAGAGCATTATCTCTATACGTTGGCAGTTAATTAGGAAGAAGTAGTGCTGTGGTCCTGTTGTGAGAATTTGAGAAACAAACTTAAGACACATGTCAAAATGAATGGTTGATATGGCCAGTTATAGATCCGTCCCCACAAATGAATAAATAGGTGACCAAAGCCCCAAAAGTCTACCTCAGAGAGTGTGGTTCTCATTTTAACTTGTTAAATACTATTTTTACCAATTATAAACACCTGTGCATTCTAGTCTCAAACTCTGCTATGAACCTGGAATAATAAATCTTTCTTATAGAGATGATATGTTCATCTGATAACTTAAGTAATAACTATTGGTTAACATTTCAGCTTTCAGATTATTGCTGTACCTTTTTTTGAGTCTCCCAGTTCAAGACACTGTTAGGGTTTTTCGTTGTTACAGTGGTTCGAGCAGACTTGTCCGAAGGCTGCTTGGCAGTTGTTCCTCTCCCCCACCCCCAAATCCTGGTTGTTGTACTGAAAGTACTTGATTATTAACAACTATGAAGTTAAATGGGGCATAACCAAGTGATAGAGAGCAAACGACCTTAATTGTTGGTGGGTTGACTCCAGAAAACTTCTGGTAATTAGTGTAATATCTCAGTGAGACCAGATGTTTCAATTGTCGCCTGCCTGTGTTTATAGCACATTTAGTTCAAACTCCAGATTTTGTTTAAATTACGTGCCATTTATACTCATAATTCAGACAACGTTGGTTTCCAAAAGTGGTAGCTTCTGTTTCTGATCCTATTGTCTGCCTCCTAACAGAAATGCTCGTTTTCTTACACACTTTCCAAAGGAGCTTCAGTTGATTCCCCTACTCTTCTTCATGTGTCCTAAGGGACACAATGGTGTCATTAGTAACCAGAAGGGAGTCTCTCTAATCTTAACTCTGCTGGAAACCGTTTACTTATTCCATAGTCTTTGTACATTGTAGAAGTTGGAGCTCTGAGGACTCAGCTTATAAAGGGATTTGAAATTTGTTGTCAGAGACTCTGTTTACTAGGGTAGCTTTTGTGGACAGCTGGAAAACCCCTGAAGCTTAGAAGATCCGAGAAACATATTTTCCCATTCTTGTTTTAAAGAGGAGTACAGAGCCCTTGCTTTTTCTTTTTGCTCTAGGCTCCCCTTAAACATTTAAATACATACTGAGTTTTGTTACGTGGGGAAGGAGAGTCCAGCAGTCAGTTGAACCTGGTATTCAGAGCTTAATTTTTTTCCCTTTTATTATTTTCTCAGCTTCTTAAAATATCTCCAACTCAACCAATAGTTTTAAAAGTTAAGATACCATTTAAAACTCTCCGCTGGCTTCTTCTTTTTCTCTCTTCTCTTCCTTTCCCTTCTATTTTAAGTCAACTCCACCCCTGCCACTATCTAACTAGGGAAGTGTGCAAAGACATGTTATAACCACAAAAACACAATGATTCCTCTCAACATCCATTTTGTGAATAACTAGAATTAGAAGGCTATATTCCTCATGACAGTTATAAGAAGTTGCTTCCACTAACTTCGTTTTTATTTTTATAAACCTCAAAGATTTTGAATTATTCCTACAAATCCTTCTTCCAAAAATATGGCAAAATATCTGTGTCCTGCATGAAGACATACCTGCTTTCCAGTCTCTTTAAGCCCCATAATGTAATACATGCTTCTGTGTTTCTGTATCTCAGTCACATGTGACTAAGTTAGTGCCATTGCCACATCACACTTAAAGACTTGGGTACTTTCTCTGTGGGTCACCATAAGCCCTTACATATAACACCATACTTCTCACTTTGAATTAGTTACTTATTCTTGTGTCTGATTTCCCTGCCACACTGTGAACAATTTGAGAGGAAGAACAACTGTGCCTTATTCATCTTGTGTAGATGCTCAGTAATTTTTTTTGAATGGATGAATAGACCAAGAACATAGGACTCTACTCTCAAAAAGTGTAGATAATTCCTTGAACTCCATTCCTTTAAATTCAGGGTACTGGCATCTAACTCAGGGTAGAGAAAACCAGGCATGATGTCTTTTCTCTGTCCTTTCTTCTTAGCCCGTATGAGTTCTCGAAACTGGTTTCCCAAAGATTGAACATCAATCAGTACCACCTTTGAATTGGAGGATTGGTTCCCCAGTGACTTACTAGCATGGGATTTTAATAGCAGCCATCAAAATAGTATGTACTCTGTTTATAATGTCTAACTTCTTTTATTTTGAGATGGAGTTTCGCTCTTGTTGCCCAGGCTGGAGTGCAGTGGCACAATCTTAGCTCATTGCAATCTCCACCTCCCGGGTTCAAGCAATTCTCCTGCCTCAGCCTCTTGAGTAGCTGGGACTACAGGCACGCACCACCATGCCCAGCTAATTTTGTATTTTCAGTAGAGACGGGGTTTCTCCATGTTGGTCAGGCTGTTCTGGAACTCCCGACCTCAGGTGATCCTCTCACCTCAGCCTCCCAAAGTGTTGGGAATACAGGTGTGAATCACCATGCCTGGCCTATAATATCTAACTTCTTTTTTTTTTTTTTTTTTGAGATGAAGTTTCGCTGTTGTTACTCAGACTGGAGTGCAATGGCATAATCTCAGCTCACCACAACCCCCGCCTTCTGGGTTCAAGCAATTCTCCCACCTCAGCCTCCCGAGTAGCTGGGACTACAGGCACACACCACCATGCCCAGCTAATTTTTGTATTTTTAGTAGAGACGGGGTTTCACTTTGTTGACCACGATGGTCTCGATCTGTTGACCTCGTGATCCACCCACCTTGGCCTCCCAAAGTGCTGGGATTACAGGCATGAGCCACCGCCCCGGCCCTAATTTATTAATCTTTGGTCAACTATACACATTTTAAAATGTGCTGTTATTTGAAAAGATTATTCAAGGTCAGAACTCTGTGCTTTCTCTCCCAGTTTCAGTTGGCAATTCCATGTCCTTTATCTTTGGCATTTGGTTATTTCAGCAACTACAGGTATTTTCCTTCTAGCTGATAAAGAATTCCACAATGGATACAGATCATTTTCTTCCATCTGAAAACCGTCAGGCTTGCATTAGCTTTCATTCAGTTCATCAAGCTGACTAGTGGTTTGTATGTCACCTCTTTGTAGAGTGAAACTGGTAATCTGCCATGAAAACCAGTGAGATGCCATTCCAGGGTTTCCTGTTATTAGGTGGCTCAGTTTTCCCTAAGTTAGAATATGCGAATGTTTTTACCTGGAAACTGTCAAGTATGAATTATCCAGTTTATGGAATGTTTACGATTGCTCCTCAAAAATGAGCTTTAAAATGAACCCTTTGTTACAGTAAATATTATTGTAGTACATTTGAAGAGTAACCTTTGGGTTCATTTTTCTTTACCCTCAATAGAGTATCTTTAGAAAAACAAACAACTTTTTATTATGGAAACTCTCCAGCATATACAAAAGTAGAGAAATAGTATAAAGAACTGTTGAAGTAGGTCACCCAGCTTCCACAGTTCTCAACACGTGGCCAGTCCTGGGCTACACCCCACCCCCACAAGATTAATCCAGGAAAGTCTCTTGACAAACAGAGTTCAGGGAGCATAGGTAACTTGGTTCTTGGGCGAGTCCAAGTTCTAAAGAGGTGATTCATGCCAGCTTCTCCTCTCCTTTGAGAAGACATTTCAATGCATGGTTGATAAAGCCTAGTTTAATCAAGGTAAAGAGTGTTTTTAATCCTACTAGAAAAAAAAAATTCACTCCCTCTTTGAACTTTGGTTTCTTCCCTGGAGCAGCCTTTGGTAAATAGAGATGAGAGAAACTGATAGGACCAGGTCATCTTTAGTTCTGGTACTCCTCAAGAGAAGTCTCTGGTGAGGCTCAGGAGAAGAGGAATATTTCTTATTCTCACCTCAGAGAAGAGGGGCTACTCGTCCAATATACAGGATGGAATGGTAGAGACTTCATCATAATCTAGCAAACCAGTGATGGAACAATTTTCAGTTTTTTATAACACCAGCCATAAGATGAAAAGCCTTTTCTAGGAATGGTGTTTTAAATGAAATACTGTCCACACTAAATCCAGAATTATCATATTTGCTAATATGCTGTAGGCCCTCATTTACCAAAAGAGAAAGTTCTCAAAAGAAGGATTTTTGTCAATTTGAATAAACTGTATGGAAGAAATAATAAATCCTTAAGCATTTATTTTATTGTATATACCAATTTTTCAAAATCAGATAGAAATCATACTTGAATCTAGAAACACTTCCCTCTTCTACTCATGCTTCAGGAAACAATTTTATTCCAAACTTTTATGCTTCTTGACATCAGCACTTTTGATATTACTGGGGTCACTTTTTGATTCACCAGACAGTTTTTGCCTTAAGTCTGTTTGGGCTTCTATGACAAAATACCTCAGACTGGGTAATTTATAAACAACGAAAATGTATTTGTTGTAGTTCTAGAGGCTGGGAAGTTCAAGACCAAGAAATAAGCAGATTGGGTCTGGTGAGGACCTGTTCCTCACAGATGGGACACTCTGTGTCATCTGGCCTCTGATAAAAGCACTAATCCCATTCACGAGGGCTCCTCCCTTGTGATGTAGTCATCTCCCAGAAAGCCACGCCTCCTAACACTAACACTGGGAATTAGGGTTCAACTTGAATTTGGGAGGAGCACGAACATTCAGACCAAAGCAGTTCTCTCAGGAATGATACTCCCTAGAGAACTGCTGTGTGTCGATTGAAATACAGTATTTTAGTCACCAACAATTTCATGCTGATAACCAGAATTTTAGGCAAAACCACAAATTTCTTTCATATATCAATCGTACGGTTGTTTTCTTAATCCTTTACATGTATAGACTTAAGCTTCATAACTTATCCACTTTATTGCTTTTTAAAGTGACTTTGAAAAGAGTTGTTGACTAAAGTAGGTGATAATTTGATCTCCTCTGAAACTAGCTTTGGTTGAAGTTGTTTCATACTTGCATGTCATCCCCAAACGGTAGTTTTTAATCAGAAGAAAGTAACCTAAAGGGTATCCTGTAACATGAGACCATTTGGGGGAAGTATCTCAGCCTGCATTCAAACTGATTCCTAATTTAGGAGGATAATTGTTTAGCTTTTGTAACTTTCCCTGTCCCTCAAGGTCACCTCAGTTCAGACCTTTCCAGTTTGAACGATGGTGAACCGATTTAAGTTGAAGTCCTGCTTGTCTCTATCTCTGCAGATCAGATCTCATCCCCAGTTTGGCGATCTTTGCCAGAGGACCACTGCTGCCTCCTGCTGCCCCAGCTGGACGCTGGGGAACTACATCGCCATTCTGAACAACAGATCGTCCTGTCAGAAAATAGTCGAGCGAGACGTTTCTCATACCTTGAAGCTGCTTCGGACTTGTGCCAAACACTACCAAAATGGCACTCTGGGACCAGACTGCTGGGACATGGCAGCCAGAAGAAAGGACCAGCTCAAGTGCACCAGTGTGCCCCGCAAATGTACCAAGTACAATGCCGTGTACCAGATCCTCCATTACTTGGTGGACAAAGACTTTATAACCCCAAAGACGGCTGACTATGCCACGCCAGCTTTAAAATACAGCATGCTCTTCTCTCCCACAGAGAAAGGGGAGAGCATGATGAACATTTACCTGGACAACTTTGAAAAGTGGAACTCTTCTGACGGCGTGACTACCATCACCGGGATTGAGTTTGGTATCAAACACAGTTTGTTTCAGGATTATCTTCTAATGGATACTGTGTATCCTGCCGTAGCCATCGTGATTGTCCTTTTAGTCATGTGCATCTACACCAAATCCATGTTTGTCACGCTGATGACAATGTTTGCAATAATCAGTTCTTTGATTGTTTCTTATTTTCTCTATCGTGTAGTATTTCACTTCGAATTTTTTCCTTTTATGAACCTCACTGCCCTCATTATTTTGGTTGGAATTGGAGCGGATGATGCTTTTGTCCTGTGTGATGTTTGGAGCTACACCAAATTTGATAAGCCTCACGCGGAAACGTCAGAAACAGTAAGCATCACCCTGCAGCACGCTGCCCTGTCCATGTTTGTCACCAGTTTTACCACGGCTGCTGCCTTTTACGCTAACTACGTCAGCAACATTACAGCAATCAGATGCTTTGGGGTGTATGCGGGGACAGCTATCCTGGTGAATTATGTTTTGATGGTCACGTGGCTTCCAGCAGTTGTTGTACTGCATGAACGGTACCTTCTTAATATATTCACGTGCTTCAGAAAGCCCCAGCAGCAACTATATGATGACAAAAGCTGCTGGACGGTGGCTTGCCAGAAGTGCCACCAAGTCCTCTTTGCCATTTCAGAAGCATCTCGAATGTTTTTTGAAAAGGTGTTGCCGTGCATTGTCATTAAGTTTCGCTACTTCTGGCTGTTTTGGTTCCTTGCCTTAACTGTAGGTGGGGCCTACATTGTATGTATAAATCCAAAGATGAAACTGCCCTCACTGGAGTTATCCGAGTTCCAAGTGTTCAGGTCATCTCATCCTTTTGAGCGTTACGATGCTGAATACAAAAAGCTTTTCATGTTTGAACGTGTTCACCATGGCGAGGAGCTCCACATGCCTATCACAGTAATCTGGGGCGTGTCCCCCGAAGACAACGGCAATCCACTCAATCCCAAGAACAAAGGGAAGCTGACGTTAGATAGCAGCTTTAACATCGCCAGCCCCGCTTCCCAGGCCTGGATTTTGCACTTCTGCCAAAAACTGAGAAACCAAACATTCTTTTACCAGACTGATGAACAGGACTTCACCAGCTGCTTCATTGAGACTTTCAAACAGTGGATGGAGAACCAGGACTGTGATGAGCCTGCCCTGTACCCATGCTGCAGCCACTGGAGCTTCCCCTATAAGCAAGAGGTTTTTGAACTGTGCATCAAGAGAGCTATCATGGAGCTGGAAAGGAGTACAGGGTACCATTTGTATAAGAAAACCCCAGGACCAAGGTTTGATATCAATGATACTATCAGGGCAGTGGTGTTAGAGTTCCAGAGTACCTACCTCTTCACACTGGCTTATGAAAAGATGCATCAGTTTTATAAAGAGGTGGACTCGTGGATATCCAATGAGCTGAGTTCGGCCCCTGAAGGCCTCAGCAATGGTTGGTTTGTCAGCAATCTGGAGTTCTATGACCTCCAGGATAGCCTCTCCGATGGCACCCTCATTGCCATGGGGCTGTCAGTTGCTGTTGCATTTAGCGTGATGCTGCTGACAACTTGGAACATCATCATAAGCCTTTATGCCATCATTTCGATTGCTGGCACGATCTTTGTCACTGTCGGTTCTCTTGTCCTGCTGGGTTGGGAGCTAAATGTGTTGGAATCTGTCACCATTTCAGTTGCCGTTGGCTTGTCTGTAGACTTCGCCGTCCATTATGGGGTTGCCTACCGCTTGGCTCCAGATCCCGACCGAGAAGGCAAGGTGATCTTCTCTCTGAGCCGCATGGGCTCTGCGATTGCCATGGCTGCCCTGACCACCTTCGTGGCTGGGGCCATGATGATGCCCTCCACCGTTCTAGCTTACACCCAGCTAGGCACCTTCATGATGCTCATCATGTGTATCAGTTGGGCTTTTGCCACCTTCTTTTTCCAGTGCATGTGTCGGTGCCTTGGACCACAGGGTACCTGTGGTCAAATTCCTTTACCTAGAAAACTACAGTGCAGTGCCTTTTCCCATGCCTTGTCTACAAGTCCTAGTGACAAGGGACAGAGCAAAACACATACCATAAATGCTTATCATTTAGATCCCAGGGCCCCAAAATCTGAACTGGAGCATGAGTTTTATGAATTAGAACCTCTGGCTTCCCACAGCTCCACTGCCTCTGAGAAGACCACTTACGAAGAAACCCACATCTGCTCTGAATTTTTCAACAGCCAAGCAAAGAATTTCGGGATGCCTGTGCGCGCAGCTTACAACAGTGAACTCAGCAAAAGCCCCAGAACTGACTCTGGCTCCGCCTTGCTGCAGCCCTCTCTTGAACAGCACACCATGTGTCACTTCTTCTCTCTGAATCAGAGATGTAGCTGCCCAAATGCCTACAAATGCTTGAAATATGGCCCACACTCTTGCCAGCAGATGGGAGACTGCTTGTGCCACCAGTGTGCTCCTACCGCTAGCAGCTTTGTCCAGCTCCAGAACGGCGTGGCACCTCTGAAGGTCACACACCAAGCCGCCGAGGGCTTTGTGCACCCGCTCACACACATCCACCCCTGTCCCTGCCTGCAGGGCAGAGTAAAGCCAGCTGGGATGCAGAATTCTCTGCCTACGAATATTTTCCTCCACCCAGCGCAGCAAATTCAGGCCCAAGAAAAAATTGGCAAGACCAATGTACCCAGTCTTCAGAGCATAGAAGAGCGTCTTCCAAAGATGGCAGCGCCATCGTCATTTGTCTGCGGAAGCACTGGATCATTACTCAAAACGTGCTGCGACCCCGAGAATAAACAAAGGGAACACTGTAAAAATGGAGACGTGGGAAATAGGGAGAGCGGTGGAGAGACAGAAAACAAGGCAGGGGGGAAAGTGGAGCTGAGCTGGTCGCAGACGGATGCAAGTGTAAACTCAGAACATTTAAATCAGACTGAACCAAAAGTCATATTTAATCATTTAATGGGGGAGGCTGGTTGTAGGTCCTGCCCAAACAATTCACAAAGTTGTGGCAGAATTGTGAGAATGAAGTGCAATTCTGTGGACTGTCAAATGCCAAACGTTGAAGCCGGCGTGCCTGCTGTATTAACACACTCAGAACTTCCTGGCGACAGCTTGTTAATAAAAACACTATAATAAATACAGCATTCAGTTCAGAACCAGTGCCTCAATTATTCTTTTTAAATGGAAGTAAAATCCAGAGGCGTAGAAAAAAAGCCCAAAAATATAGCAACAAGCGTGTTTCACGCTAACAATTACAGAATATTTTTATATTTTGTAGGAACAAATGAACTTACACATCTGCTGAGTGCATTGGGTTGTTGGATTGGCTGATGATTGGATTTTATATTTTCAAAAAGTATTGTTGTTTTTTACATTTATGCCCAGCTTGAAAAATAATTGTCTCTCTTTCTACCCTCCCACTGCTGTGAATCAGAGATTTAAAGTCTGAATTACCTCGACATTTCGGTTCTCCCCGGCCACCGTATTCACCTGATGTACTCACTCTAGAGTATTTGGTGGGCAGTAATCGGGACTTTTGATTGCTCAGCATGAATACTAGGAATTGCTCTGATTTTAATAGAGCCACTTCAGTTGGGATTCAAGAACTACAAAACATTAACATTTACATTTTTGGTGAAGCCTCATGTAAAAAATCAGTTGCCAAGCACCTTAATAACGCATCCCATGTGTCTGCTTCAGTAGACTTCACATGAAGCCAAGAGCACACTTAAATCCACATCAGTGTCTTTTCCACGTTAGCCAAAATGTACAGTTGTTTAGTTATTAGAGCTATTAACTCAGGAGCCACGAGCATCATCTGTGTCAGGCCACGATTATGTTAGAGGCGCAGAAGGAAAGGCATGAATGAAGAGATGTGATCACGAAAAATAGTGCTGTTCTTCACGAGATACATGATGACAAAGGTAGATCCAGGCCAGGTGAGCCTTCAGAGCAAGGGAACTCGGATGAAGTTTTACTTCCAACTCTGCCCCTAAGGGGCCATGTTTAGAGGGCTTCCTTCTCCTTTGTTAAAGAGTGTCTCAAGACACCCGAGGATTATTTTCTTATGCAGCTAACACCTGGAAATGCTAAGCCTTCAGGCAGCATCTTAAATGACACCTGGGTATCTCACGTTAGATCAGTCTACAGTAATTGAGCCATTGGATCATGCTTTCTGGATAAGGCATCAGATGACAGCCCTTGTCACAGGGTGTCCATCTGATCCTTTGTGCATTCTAGCCCAATCCTGGAAGCGTTCCTCTGCATTCCACTTCCCTCTGGAATTCTACCTCCAATTTGGTCCTCTGAAGAAAACAGTGGAAATATTTGTAAATACAGTGTTCCCTACAAAAGTTATACTTGTTATTTTCTAAGAATAGTTTTCCAAAGTAGATCTGCATATTATTCTAGGGCCTGAAGAAAAGCTGTCAGGAGCAGAAAGGGAGCTTATAGGTCGTTGACTCCAACACACATCCACTAAACCTCATTTTTCTTAAGTAACTTTCCAGCTTTTGCTTGAACACTTCAGTGACCAGTAAGTAGCTTACTACACGTCTACTTGGTTGAACCAGAATCTGTCGTCCTGTAGTTTTTCTGCCAGTTTGTCCTCATTCTGTTCTCTGAAGTGAAAACAAACATCTCTAATCTTTCTGCCACATGGTATCCTTCAGATACTTGAAAACAGTAATCATGTCCTCCCACTAACATTGGCAGTTCACGGAAGTGTTCTTCCCGTGAACACGGATGGAGCATCTATGTTGTGGTACCCAAACAGACCCTGATTACATCGCAAGGAGGAGGACCAGCCCCCAGGAGTCTGCATGGCACTCCCACTGGTTCACATAGAGATGGAAATAACTTTTGCTCAAGTATTACAGCTAACTCTGAGGCAGCATGCAGGGAACTAACCCTCACACATGTTATGTTTCTCACATGTTTTGTTGCTAAGCTGCCTCTTCAAACCAGTTAATTTTTTTAACCCTGACATTCAGGAGCTTATGTCCACTCCCATCGCACTTAATTCTGTTAGATAAATAAAGGGACATAGGGAGGAGAAGGAACAGTTGAAAACAGGACTCACAATACCCAACACTAGAGTCTTGGTTTTCCCTCTGAAATGTGTAACTGTAAAGTTATGTGAAAATTTAGTGGCCCAAAAGCACTTTTTTGTTGGGTACGCACATGGATTGAATTTAAAGGCAATTTAAAAAAATGCCAATTTCTTTACGGATGATCTAACCTGAAGACTTTCATGTAAGCTAAGTGTCATATGAGATGAAAATGAAGACTAGAGGGAGGAGTGGGGAGCATCCTACGTCTTCTCCCTGGGTTCCATCAGGGAGGCATGGTTACCGTGCACCATGCCTGCTCCGGCTCCAGGGGGCTGGAGGGGCCTTCCCTCTCCCCCATCCCCCACCTCTGAGTAATTACCCTGAAACTTGAATGCAGCAATGAACCCTTTTCACATTTATTTCATCTCCAGCTTTGGGACTTTGAATTGACTATGTTTTTCACAAATGGATTTCTTTTTTTTTAAAGTATTTATTTGCTAGGGCTAGAAAGTTTTACATTTTTCGTTTTTTCTTTTTAGCTCATTACTGGGCAGCAAAGGGTCGCTATTTCTAGTACTGTTTCACAAAAAATTTCATCCAGTCTTCTAGGTAATTTGCAAAGCAGATACATAGGGAAAAGAGCTCTTTCCTCTGTCTGTGAAATACTTGTAACTTAGAAACTATTTGATTATGGAAAGAATTCACAGACTGTTACTACAGCAGAGCACATCTTTGAGGTTTGAGTCCAAGTTACCACATTTGTTCCTGACTTCCCTCTTCAAGGTTACTTTTTAAATCCCTATTTTATTGAAAAGTGGAATAGGCCAAGAGCAAGAAATTTTTCACAGAGACAAGCTGATTTTGAAATAACTACACAGCTTCATGCGTGTATTCATTTCTTGTGTATAATTGCTGTGAAATGCACATTCGTCTAGAACAATATTCTTTAAAGGTATGCTAAGTTGCTACTAAAGGTTATTGTAGGAATCTCTGCCCCAGCTTCAAGCATTCTAAATTTTTAAACTCTTGCATGGGGCGATGTGAGGAGTAGTTTACAAATGTGATCTTACAGGAGATTAGGAAATGTTCCCAGTTCCCATTGTCTCACATAAAAACCATCTTTCTGCCAGCAGTTAGGAGAGTTTCTGAATGAAATATCAGGAAACAGTGTCTTGGAAAACAGCTGCATCTTTTCACTTTAATTAGGAGAGTCGTTTTGAAGAAAAAAAAAATGAAACCTGTGTTTTAAGAAAATCCAGACTCAACTGGGATTTTTTCATAAGGTTCAAACATAACCACAAAAATAGAAATTTGTTGAAATCACAAGGGGATTATTTTTTATGCAGAAGAAACGATCACATCCAGATATCCTGTATGCCACAGTGGATCATTCTGAAATGCTGGCTGGCATTTAGTTTATCTCAATTATTGTTACATTAACCCACAACTTTTTTGTTAGACATTTTCATTATGTTTGGTTTTGTACACTAAGGCTTCATATCTTTGCATTAAATATAAAGCAAAAATCTAATGAATATTCAAGATTGACGAGTGGAATCTTGTGCTCTTAACAGAGTTTAATTATTGTGTGTGTTTGTGTGTGTGTGTGTGTGAAGAAAAGATGTCACTTCTTGTTAGCTTTGTAAACCAGAGGGTGCTCACACAGAAACAATTAAGTGACCAGGATCAACAGCAGTTTCCACCAGATCCTCTAAACCATCAGTCAGAACCTGAAGTTGACAATAGCAGTGCCATCTAGGACACAGTTCACTGACTCAGCGGAGCCTGATGGGCATTCGTTGCACATACGTATGCTTTCCTGAGATTCTGGGGACGTGAGTGCTGTTTTAAGTTTTAGGGAGGGGGACATGCAATACAGCAATAACGGTCTGTATTCAGAAGTCAATTCAAGAAGGAGCTCTTTCTAGCTTGCTTGTTCTTACGGCTTTAGGTAACCTTGAGAACCACATCGTTTTTATTTCGAGTAAGAAGATAAATCAATGGCCCAAATTATTAAGCGTAATGCTGTAGAAAACAGCTTCCCTTCTTAAGGGATTTAAGCCAACATTTGAATACCAGTCAACACCTCTGCTGCTCTCACCTGACCCCTAAAATGACTTCACTTCCTGGCTTACTTTGTGCTGCCTTTAATGACATATTCACCACCCCGTGACGATCACGGTGAAATAGTTCAATTCCATGTTGTTAACTGGAAGAGCTAAACCTCAACATTTACCCTTTCAAATCTTTTTTTAATATGTAACTTTCTGTAATGTAATCTACATATTCCTAAAAAATTAAGGACAGATTATTTTTAGCAAGAGATATTTTTATTTGGCACAGTGGATTACTTGAGGTCAGATGTTTGAGACCGGCCTGGCCAACATGGTGAAACGCTGTCTCTACTAAAAATATGAAAACTAGCCAGGCGTGATGGTGGGTGCCTATAATCCCAGTTACTCAGGAGGCTGAGGCAGGAGAATCACTTGAACATGGGAGGAGGAGGTTGCAGTGAGCCGAGATTGCGCCACTGCACTCCAGCCTGGGTGACAGATCGAGACTCCATCTCAAAGAAAAAATTTTTTTTCTTTAGAACCCAATAAGGTTCTTATAAGAGCTGGTTTTAATTTGAGACAAAGCGACAGAATAAAATCGGCTTATTCTCTATCCACTAATTGGCCATTTTTGATCAATGCATTGGATTTTTAACTTTCCACTATTTAAAGGGGAAAGGATTTACTAAGTAAACCAATAATATAAACAAGATTACGAAGAGCCTGTTTAGCCTGCCTAAGAAAGCAAACCTCTAGAGTTTAAAAAACTGTAGTGTTACTGTCTTTGCAACATAGTATGATCATTATGAATCTTATTAATTTTTTTTAAAAAGGTCCCATGGGATAATCTCTAGGCAGAACTTTCCCAGATGTCTTAAATACTAACTGAGAATGGGAAAAGAGTAAGGATTTTCAAATGGTCCTCGATGTGGTCTCTCTGATTCTCCCACTAGCTGTATTATTCCATCTTGGCAAGCTCGCTCACCTGCCTGCAGAGTGACTTCTATTTCTCTCTATTGTGGCAATAATAAAGCGCTTAATTCGATGTAG